TACTCTGGCAAGGAATGTTCCTTTAAAGTTTCCTGCAAAACATATTCATCTTGCCTCGATGGTTGCTTCAAACTACTTGTACTAGAGGCAGAACAGTACTCTTGAAGTCATTTATTCAGAAGTATTCTTCATTGCTGAAAGGATCATTTCATTTATGATTGTTTCCATTAGCCTATACGCACATGCGTTGTTGACAAACTTAGTCCATAAAGATGTGTTCCAGTCCTCCCTGTAGTATCCCTTGAAGATTTGCTCAAGCCGTTGAAATCAGTCCCTTATCTGAATCAAACCTTTGACCTCTCATATAATGCTTTAGCACCCAAAATGTAGTGAAGATCAATGCTGCTTCATTTGGTGAATATTGTCCGGTGAATATGGGGCAGTAATAACTTGTGTGAACCCTAATTCTTCAAGAGTAGTAGAGGCAGCTTGAGTAATGGGAATGAGCATAGTCATAATGGAAGATAACTCCCCGCTTTCTTGAGTCATGATTGTGACTTTGGGATGCTGATGAATGATACAAAAATAGAGCAAAGTACACTCTTATATAACAATAAAGGTGTTACTTTAGAAACTAAAGTTAGAAGTATTTGAAAACATAAAAAATCACAGAAATATGTCCACCAAATAGGTATTTATTAACCATACTTTTGGACCAAGCAAAATCTGAATTCATTTTTATTTTACTTGACCCGCTACGCCATTTGTCATGTTGCTATAGTAACAATAATTATCCATTGTGACATCAGATGACAATGAAACTGTTTTCTCCAACCCAAAATTACATTCCTCATTTACCTTGAAAATTGCAAGTAAATTGGTTGAAAAATAATGAAATGACAGATAAATTCCGAGAACTTAGTGATCACCTGTATGGAGTGTATAGCAATGGTCAATACGATATTTCCAGATGGATATTTCTTCCCTAGAAGCGGAACCCAAACTCAGTCATGACATAGAAGCTAACTTTAATTTTGCAATTAATAGAAACTTGTTTTTTATTATATTTTTGTGTTCTATATTTGAGATGAAATAATATGAGATTCATTTCTACAAGAGGATGGAACGAATGTGAACTTGTATATTGAAATACTCCTTTTCTGAATAAACAGAACAACATTTTATCCAAGCCAATTAAAAAAACCAAGGCCAATGAGTGTAATTTATGCCCATTTAAACTAACACAGTAACAACTTTTTGTCTGGACTCACTTATTATGTAAGAATGAATTGTATTACTGTTTACTGCATTAAATGTCAAGTATACTATCTGTATTTAATTTCAAATGCCTATCTCACTTATCGAAGGTATACAAGAAATGTTATTTTGAATTGCAACACACTGTTGTTGCAGGACTGTGGATTATATTATATACATTTTATTTACATTAAATGGTAAATGTTTTAAGTGTAAATGTAAGGGGATTAAGGAATAAAAGAACCAGGTTCACTTTTTTTCAGTTTTTGAAAAAGCATAAAATAAATATTTGCTGTATACAAGAATCATTTATTACAGATGATGTAGCAAAAACATGGGAAAAAGAATGGAAAGGGCAAATGTTTTATAATGCTGGAACAAAGCACAGTAAAGGTGAAATGATTTTAATTAGTGATAAATGTACAGAAATATCAAATATGCAAGTCATACATGCTGAGTCAAGAATTTTAGGTATTTCATGTCAATATTCTGATAAGCCATTGTATATTTTTAATATCTATGCTCCAAACCAAACAAAGGAAAAAATTGACTTCTTCAAAAAGGTAACCAGAACTATAAATCAAAAAAAATATACTTACATCATCTGTTTTGATTGGAGGTGATTTTAACTGTACATTAATGATGACAAGAATCCAAGAAGAGTATTGGTCTGAGCAGTTTGCTCAAACAGATTTCTCAGATATTT